GTAATTAAAATGTTATGACTTATAAAAACCTTGCCTCTATCGAATGCCGTCATTACCATGGCACTTTCTTGATTGGAAGCGTTATATCCAGGATCTGTGATATAAACAATAAGCTCAATAAAATGGATCCCATCATGAGGAGATAGATTAAAATTTGGTAAAAATGCCCTATTAAAAGGACGGCCAGTTGAGTTTAAATCAGCAAAATACGTAGTTTCATAGATAAAACTAGAACAAGAACCATGACCTAAAATAATTTGAGTTAGATATATGTATATATTATGTGAAATATGATATAAAAATAACTCGCGGCTGATGCTGAAATTTTGACCCATTTTTTTATGGAATTTTTAATTTTTTTGGGCCTTTTGTTAGGGTTTAGGGTTAGTGTTGTTAGTAAAAAAATATAAAAGAATTTTAGTAGGCGTTATAGATTTAAATGGGGAACTAAATATCAACATAAGCCAATTTCAACATTAGCCGCGACAATAACTAAGATACATACCCGACAAAGTAGAATTACAGTATATAGTAAAGTTATGTTGATTACTAAAATAGATGTCTATATTGATTTAAAGTTATATATATATCTGATTGTTGTTTTTATTATTTAACTTAACAATTCTTACTTGGAAAAGGCAAATATTCAGGCTGCTTGATGGATATACTAATACTAGGTTGTTCATAACGTAAATCGGCGCAAAATAGAGAAAAAATAGCAAATAATATGAATAAGAATAATATGATAACGAAACGTTGACACTTTATAACTGACTTCGGATCAGTTTCTCGTGCTGTTCGAAATAAGTCATTTATCATTTTTTATTTATTAGATTTTATTTTATTGCAAGAATGAAAAGAAGCTATAAAAAAAGTTGATCCATGTTTTATATTCCACGTTTTTTCCGTAAATGTTGCATATAACTTTAGTCTATATTTTGTCGATCATGTTGCAGATTCAGGGAGTTTTCACAAAAAAATGAAAAAATAATGGAGATATTCAGATAAAATTTCTTACAGGGTTAGCATTTCTATGCTTCTTAAATATCATTAATTTGCGTGAAATTCATCCACTAGCTAAAAGTAGATAAATATCTTTAATAGGAATCCTTTTTCCTTTTTTGATTTGCAAATGTTTTAAATCTCTGACTTATTTATATAAAAGTTTGCTCACCCTTTTGTCGCTGCTTAATATAATTTTTTTAATATATGATTTAAAAAGTTGTTATTTCTTATTTAGGATCATTTGTTAAAGGCTTGTTAGAGGTCTGCTGCTCTGAAATGTGAGATGTAAATATCTCTAAAAGGATTATTTTTTCATTTTTGATTTGCAGATGTTTTTAAATCTCCGACATTATTTATATGGAAATTTGTTCACTACAAAATATAATACTTACCTTTGTCACTGCTTAATTAATTAAATTTTTTTTTAGTATATGATTTATTGCTGTTTGCATAATTTTGTGATTATTCTTTTTATGATTAAATGATTATGATTGCGATTGTGATTTCTAAAGCCAGAAATTTATAATAAATCTGAGCTTGAAACAAACTCAGATTCATGGTTAATTAACTGGAGCAATTGCGATCGCAATCACAATCATTTAATCATAAAAAAATTAATCATAGGGATCACAAAAAATTATGCAAACCACGATAATATCGTTATTTCTTATTTAGGATCAATTGTTCAAGTCTGGTGGTGCGCATTTCACTGACAATCACTTCACTGACAGATTAGTTTACTGACAATTAATTCATCGACAAGTTTCACCGACTTTCAATTTACCGACAAGTTCATTTCATCGACAGCTATTCCGCAGATAGCTCATTTCACCGGCAAAGTACTTCTGGACATTCTTGTTAGGATCAGGTTAGAATTAGAGTTAAAGTTAGCGTAATTTATAAAAAATACTTGTCGGTGAAATGAGAAATAACTGTCGGTGAAATGAACTTGTTGGTAAATTGATTGACAGTAAAATGAACTTGTCGATGAATTAATGATGTGCATTGTGATTATGTAAATGTCATTGAAAAGTTTTTTTTTTGATCTCATATTGCGAGTAAGATAGGTTAGTCATGGCAAAAAAATGTTGAGATCACAAGATCAACAATCTTTCCAGTGTAAAAGTGGAAATGCTCCAGAATCCCAGAATGTAGATCACACGATATCAACTAATACTATTACTATCCAAAAACACTACAACAAACAACTAATACTACACTAGACCTTAATTGTGGAAGGCTACGAAAGAGGCGTGGAAGACTTGGCCAGAGCTATTAGGGCCAAATAGGCTCTAGATGCCGCTAGTGATTCATGACGAAACCACGTAACGCTAATTATCACATGTTAATACGTAGAGAGAACGGAAAAGGCGAGTCGGTCGCTAGTCGAACCTAGACGTCGTGTAACCTACAATCGGCTTTGCCGAATTAGAGGCGTTTAGATTTGGCGAGTGGGTATTTGGGACGTAGTATGTTTTCTTTGACATGCGTTGGAGACGGGATAACACACAGTAACGGTTCTTCTTCTTATCAACTATCGATTCACAAAAATCACGGCTTGGACCTTCCACTTGGACTTCAAACCGGAACACTATAGCCACAACTTTCCACGGTACGTTGGGAGAGTTGGACAACAATAACCTCAGTCCGCCGAGAACCAACCGGAAAAACAATCTTATACGAAATCACGTGAGCAAGTCAATTATGCGAACAAAGACCTTTCACTATGCCACTTAGTGATCGATCTGTATTTGAGTTATTTATTAAGATGTATTTATTTAGGGTTTTAAAGGTTTTATAGGTCAAGAGGTATTCTTTATTGGGGAACGATAATTGTATGCAGCACGAAATTTCTTTTTTAAGGGCCTTTATTTACGTATAACGGTATTAATAGATAAATGATGAATGAACGATATAATATGTATAATAGTGTGACATAAGATTACTAATTGGAAAACAAAAATAAAAAAAAATGAATGAAAAAAAGTAACACAATGAGATAAAAAAAACGAAATGCATAGAAATTTCTTGAGAACTACCAAAAGAAAATGAAATTTCAGACTTTTATGCTTATCATTTATTAGGTATTAAATTAAGCTTGTGAAAAATCTGTGATTACATGTCATATATGTTACTATCAGGATTTTTAACGGGCAAATCCTGTTAATAATAAATTATAAAGCTGAAAGCCTGAAGTTTATCATTTACTATTTATCAAATCCAGCTTGTAAAAAATCTGTGATTACATGTCATAGACGTTACTGCAAAGATTTTTTAAAGGGAAAATCCGGTTAATAATAAATTATAAAACTGAAAGCCTGAATTATCATTTTTTTCTCTCATTTATAATGGTTCATCAATCGGAAACAACAAATTTATTATTTATTTAATTATTTTTAAAATTTTTTATTGATAACATGAAAGCCATAAATTTATTGTACCATACTTAAATTATAATTTAAAATTTTCCAAGATACTAATTAGAAAATGTAACTTGCATTCTTTTAAATGTGCGTGTAAATTTTAAAAAAGAATTCTACAAAAATTTTGTATCTGAAAACTAAGCTTTCACAAATTCTGTTATAGCATCATTTAAATCAACAGACAAGTAGATCAAGATTAAAGCCTGCAAGAAAATTCTTAACTAAGACAATGAGCTTGTTTTCTGGCAATATATTAAGATAGGATTTTTGAAATCTGTGCTGAGCTATGTTGATCTCTAAACCTAAAAGATATGAGATAAAGAAGATCGTAATATAATAATACGAATGACCAAATAGCATGGTAAAGAGTGTAAAATACTATACCTATTTTAAAAAGGGATCTCCTATTTCCATCATGGAAATTTACTACTTCCACCATATATATACATGACGAACATTGTTACAATAAATTACGGGAAATAGCAAATTTCCATGGTGGAAATAGGCGTTCCCTTTAAAAATTATGCCAAATAAATATACTATGCCGATAATTTCTAAAACTTATACAGCAATATATGAATGACATAGAATCAGAATGGTAAAGAGTATTTATTTTGTACAATATATATATCCTAATACAGTAATATATGACACCAGATCAGTATGGTACAAATTATCTCATACTGTACAGGATATGATCGTCACGCCATATGATCTGTGTAAATTACAATATCCGACACATAGGCCGTTCTTT